TCTGTTCATTAAAAGGTTAATAGTGACACAGAATATGTAACCTTGTGCGTTTACTGTCCACTGTTTACGTTTAGGTTCAAAGAACTTTGACGTCAAGACGTGTGCTAGAAATATCTCTTCTCTCTCTCTCTCTCTCTCTCTCTCTCTCTCTCTCTCTCTCTCTATATATATATATATATATATATATATATATAATATGAATTATTGTGGCAAGGTTCTACACTTTTGTTTCTGTTAAATGAACGTCTTTCATCACTATGTGCTATCATCCACTTTTCTTCCTTTTTCTGATTTGTCTCTTTCACACGGATGAAATCCATTTTCAGAAAACTTTCATCCTCTCTCGTAAACACATGAACAAAAGATATTCACATTTTCTTTACAAAATATAAACCCCCCGGGGAACCAGCCAGATATATATGCAAGTTCGTATTTTGTTGGTATCGGTTTTAAGTGGTTTTGTGTTCTTGATTCGTTGATGAACTTGGTTGGTAGGTCACTGCTGATAATTCATGAAAAGAAAAATGTCTTCAATGATGACATTTGTAATATAAGATTACAACTCTAAATGGCAACCTCTGAAGAATGTTTGATAAATAACTTTTACCACAACTGTAAAGTTATCTTTTTTTCATAACTCTAGAGTGTTTCTCTTCCACACAAAACAGAGTTTTTCCCCTAAGTTATGTTATTTTCTTTACAACCATTTCTTAATAATGGTATTCGTGTTTGATGAGAAAAACATCTTAAAAATAAAATAAGTAATATTTTAAATTCAATAATTAAAAATGAGGTTTTTTTTTATAAAAAATATTCCTGGCCCAGGTTTATTAAATAATTTTTACATCGTACTTTTAACATTTTTCTCCGTTTCTTTCCATTAATCCATCACAGAAACTGTTATGTTTCTCTATCAAATGGATTGTATGGACGGAAAAATATAAATATAAAAAAAAATTGAAGTTGAATGTAATTTGCAGGTAACGAGGCTGGGTTGCGGGGGAATGATCCTGTGCACGGCGATCAACCACTGCGTATGCGACGGCATAGGCACGTCTCAGTTTCTACACGCCTGGGCACAGCTCACGAAAAAGCCAGAAGCGGAATTGACGATCATGCCCTTCCACTGGCGCCACGTGCTGAAACCCAGACACCCTGCGCAGGTAAAGTTCCGTCACGCGGGCTACACCGCACCAAACCCAACCCCTCAAGTGGACCTTCTAAAGTTCATACAGTCACAGCCCTTGGTAGCCACATCCTTCACCCTCACCCCCTCCCACGTCCTTCGCCTCAAGAAAGAGTGCGTCCCCTCCCTCAAGTGCACCTCCTTCGAAACCGTTGCGGCCCACACCTGGCGCTCTTGGATTCGCTCGGTGGGCCAATCCCTACCGTCCAAACTCACTGTGAAGCTCCTTTTCTCGGTCAACGTTAGAAGAACAGTTGACCTTCCGCAGGGGTATTACGGGAACGGATTCTTGCTAGCGTGCGCTGAGAGCAGCGTGGAGGACTTAGTGGACGGTAACCTGCGCCACGGAGTGAAACTTGTGCAGGAAGCTAAGGCGAGGTTGAAAGAGGAGGAGTACGTAAGGTCAATGGTTGACCTGTTAGAGGACAAAACTGTAAAAACGGATCTTTCGACGAGTTTAGTTATTTCGCAGTGGTCTAGACTGGGGTTGGAAGAGGTGGATTTTGGGGAAGGGAAACCTTTGCATATGGGTCCTTTGACCAGTGATATTTACTGCTTGTTCTTACCCGTCGCCGGTGACGCTAATGCCGTCAGAGTGCTGCTGTCTGTCCCCGCGACCATGGTGGAACGTTTTCAGTATCACATGATGAGACAAAGTCGGGAAGAAAATGAAGAAAACGGATTCTTCTGAATCTTGGTTCCCCGTGCGTGCGTACTCCAGTTTCAGTGTGTTCAACGTTGTTATATCGATCTTTGTTCTGGTTTTTTGTTTTTGGTGGCAGTAATTAATAACAACCTAGTTTTACCTGATGGCTTGGAGGAGAAGTTGATTGGTGATGGTGAAAGACAGGTTGATGTGCATCGTATCCTCCTCATTTTCTACAATGTTGTTGGTCCACAATGTTCGTGATTTCTGACTCTGATTGGTGATGGACGCGTCGGTATTACTGTCCCACATATTATGTCTCAACACTTTCTTTCTGCCATCAGATATGTGACATCAAGTTACCATCATAATAAATATATTATTTAAATAATATGTATCCTATGAAAAAGTGGGGACATTTTACTTTATTTCAAATTTCAAAACTAAAAATTAATTCAACTTTTATTTGATAAAGGTTGTAAATGATAACGAAATAAAAAAAATAAAAAGATTTTCTTGTGTGTATGTTCATTGTTTTTAAATATTTATTTGTGGTGTGTATCATGTAAGTTTTTTAAGATATAATAAAAGAATTTGAATTCTTTGAGAATTTTAAAATTGGTAAGGAACTCTAATAATAACTAATTCAAAATTTCAAGATAAGATAGAAATAAGATAAAATGCTAAAGAGAGAAAAGGAGTAGAGAGAAAGGTGAGAGAAGAGGAAGTGAGCATGATCATCAATTTATATAGAAAGGAACGAGTCATTTCACATGGTAATAACTCCCTTATCCTAAGAAAAAAATTCTGCAACTTTTTTTTTAATATTCAAATCTGACAAGCAAATTATCTCTTTACTGGTGGAAGTGACTTCCACTTCGTGTGCGGCTCTGGAAAACGTGGACATAGCTCCAGAATGATCGTGTCACATAGAAGAAGAGGCGAGTCCAAAACAGGTTTTGTTATAACAACAGTATTTATTTTTGTTTTTGTAGTAATGGATGTTTGTGTCCTGTGTATATAAATTAGTACATTCATATTTGTATGTATCAATTACTTTAATATACATTTTAATAATTTTTTAGTGAAGTTTGTGACGG